TGCTGCTGCTCGGAGGGAGCTGGTCCTGGCCACAAGCGCTGAACCCATGCATCGAAGGTACCATCAGTTATGGTATGTGGTGAGGCGCTGACACTGAAACAAAGCTTGCCGAAGCTGGCTATGCCAGCCTCCTTCAGCACATCCAGGTTCGCCTCCGAGAGCCCCAGCCGTTTACACCTCTCAGTGAATTCAGCTGCGCTTTCAAGGGCAGAGGACGTCATGTTGCTCTCGCAAAGACACTACGAACAAGCACAGTTATGTCAAACTTGTTTGCTGTGTGCCCTTGCATAGATGACACTGTGCTACCCTTCAGCCGACCTTGAAAAGAAACTTCGGCAAACGAAGGCACAGCTTCAATCTAGGGACTTGCATCGGCTGGCAACCACGACCCAAACGAAGCATTCAGCAACAGGTCATGCCAGCAGCCCCCTCAGCAACCCCAGTGTGACTCTCTTTCTTTTAAAGCTCACGGTTCAAGTCTGGGTTCGCATTGTTTCGAGCCTCTAGGGCTCGGAAACATTGAATGCAACAAGCAGGGTCATCTCGTAGCAGGCTGCCAGGTTTAAAAGGTTTGTAGTTGTCACTGAGAAAACGACCACACAACAAGGATGTGTTATCTCTCCTGACATGGGTGATGCCAGAGACTGCATGCACTAGCTGTACACTCAGCCCAAGGCACTCCTCGAAAAACTTCGCGCTCAGCAGGCTCAGCCGACGGCTCTAGCTCAGCCTCAAGTTCCACCGATGCGTGGTCGGAGTCATCCGACTCCAGTTCGTCATCAGCCCTGCTCGGCCCCTCTTTTGCAAGTGGCCCTTCATTGACCTGAGGGACGGCACGACCTTCACCAGGGAGCTTCGTCCACACCAAGTCAGAACAGTAGACTTCATGCTATGACTGCCATAACCCATAACCTCATCGGGATGGCAACCCATGGAGATCAAGGCCTCTCGAAGATAGTTGGTGGCCTCTGAAGCCCCCATCTCAAAATCTCCCCAGCAGCACTTCCGTTCACTCCAGGTGGGAAGGAAGGGGTTGCTCCCGGAGGGCAAGCCCTGAGCCTCACGTGCCTCCAGCCATGCCTCCACCCAGAAGACGTTGCCATACCTTTGCCCAAGGCAAAGTATGGAAGTATGCGGGTTCTAGCCTCCGCCGTGGTGGCTGTTTTGGAGCCGAGGGCTCCAGCTAGGACTAACACCACACCACTCTCAGCATCTGCTTCGACCTTGATGTCCTTGATGCGCTGACTGTCAGCCTAGCGGGCACAAGCGTGTGCACAGAAAACCAGCTGCCTACCATACAAGCTCGGTAGTTCTTTGCCATAGTCACAAACTGCTCAAGCAGACTGAGGTGACTCACACTGAGGGGTGGCATGATCCTAACTAACCACAGCTACACCAAACATGTCTTCCTCCTTGCACCGAAGGGGAGAGACGCACCTGTGCTGGATGACCCATTTGCCATAGCGATCCAAGGATCCGCTCGCTTTATCAGAGTCCCTGAAGCACTCTTTGCAAAGGCACATGTGAAGGAATGCGACAGAGCCTCATCATCAGCCAGGTGTGATGCCTCCTTTGCAACCAGAACCAAGAAAAGTGACCTCGGGATCGTACATGACTAATGTGCATGTTCTCTCCTGTCATCGGCAGGCCTTTCAAGATGGAAACGTCACAGCCTAGCCTTCACCCCTGCCGAAGAGCAAAGAGCAGGTTCGTAGAAGGCAGATGGTAGGCCTCCTCTGACCTATAAGAGCCTGTAGTCTCCTGGCCAAGCTTTGGTCGGGAACCACCTGATCCGGTGCCCTCGCAAGGCCTCTTGGGGACCGCCTTAGGTGACGCCGTGCTTCTGCTTGAGAGCCGCCAGCTGTGCCTCGAGCTCCTCCATTCTGACTTTGGCGTCCTAGGGAAGATTCTGGCTCATCTGCTGCATCGCCTTCTCCTGGCGTTGGCGTCTTGTTGCAGCTCCACGATTGCCCTTGGCAGAACCCACTGAGCCACCTGCATCATCTGCCGGAACAGATTNNCACAGTGTTACTGTCCAAGCTTCTCTGGTTCGCAGGTGGTTCTTGGGGTAACAGGCATGTTGGAAGTACTGGACCTGTCCTGCTTGTAGTGCTGCTGGAGTCTGGCTCCCCGAGGCTAAAGACCTCAAGTCCACTCCAGCGCGTGAGCTAAAGGTGTCGTGCCGTCGTTTTCGGATCCTGGTAGGACTTCGCCTCCGTCACCGGGCGCATCTTCTCCATCCTCCGCAGCCCAGTTGGCGTAGTGTACCAGGTCTCGAGCATCGCCCAATCGCGATATCCCTGTGGCGTCTCCACATAGTGCCACCCCTTGTACTTGCCGAAGGGCAGCACCGTGGTGTTCTCGGTCTGGTGTGCGTCGCGAAGCATTCTTATCAGCAGCCCCATCTGCCTCGCACCGCAAACCAGGCCTTGACGAGGAACTTCGAAGTGTGGACCCTCGAGCAGCCGAACTGGAACTTCTCAACGGCGTTAGCAGTGAGGACCTCGATCCCCCAGCTGGTCCATGTGCTTACAGTACTCACGGATCGGTGCACGCCGTATCGACGATGGCTTGCAAAGGTGCAGCTGCAAAGTACAAGCCCTGCCCTGGCCGCTCTGGCCCGGTCTTCCCAACGAGCTTGCCGACGTGGTCCCCGGCCTCCGTGCCCTCACCAAAGCACAGAGAGTCTTTGAGCTGTGTCGTCTCCGCCCCGATGTGCTTTGCCATGAAGACCTGGTTGGTGGCGGAGACCTGGTTGCACACCTGGGCTCAGTGTGGCTTGTCCGTCCCACTTGTAGCAGCCGCCGTGGACCCTGTTGTAGCACTGGTGCGTCCCTGCAGCAGACATTCGGCATCTTTGTGCCAGTGGCCACGCCTCTTGCATGCTTCACAGTAGGAACGACTTTTTGCTTGCTTCAGCCGCTCTTCGCTCCGGCGGCGCATCTCGGCTGGGTCCGTGCCACGCCCTTTCAGAGCCTCGCGGGCAGCCTGGTATGCCATGTAGTTCGTGTGGTGCTCGGCCGCCGTAGCTTCGTCCACCAGGGCGTCGTCGGACTCTGCAGAGGCGTCCGGCTCCTTCTCGCTCTCGGTGATCTTTTGAGGTTGAACCACAGTGTTTGGAAAATGCGTCTGCATTGGTTTGAAAAAATACAAGCGAGAAAGGGAAGCAAGGCTTCAAGCACCTTTTCTGCCATGGTTTGAAACTGTTTTTGGGCTCCTTTTGGAGCTCCACAGTCACTGACTGTGCAATTGGGCGTTCTTGTCAGAGGCGCTGCTTGTCAGTTCTTTGGTGTTGCCATCTTTGCATGGAGCATGTGGCGTCAGCGAGAATCCTATCTGGTCTTATTTTTGAATTGGAATTGATTCCTGATAAACCTTGAACTTTGGGTACAGTTTCTTGATACGATCGCAAATCGTTTTGTACTTACAGCGATGGACTATGACTGGGCATTCCATGAGCGTGCTGTGCCCTGGGATAATAAATGCTGTAAGCGCTTGGGGTGAAAGCACATGGCATGGAGTGTAGCATCCCAAGTTGAAAAAGATGACGTCCGGGCGCGAGCTTTCGACATTTATGTTTCTTGACAGAGAACCTTCTGGAAGCTATATTGGATTCCGATGTCCAAGTAAGGAATATGAGTTTACTCCTTTAAATCTTCCGAAACAGAAAGGATGAACTCCTTATTCAGTTTTGCACAGATTTCATGTTCAATTTTAAACTGAAATTAGGAATCGCGATATTTTGTCAAGTTTTCCGAGCATGGGAAGTTGCTGACATTCACGGGCAACTTCATGTCTCCAGGGGGGCACGAGGAAAACTTTGCCCGCCCGCCCTCTCCAGAATCTTTGAGCCTACCCCCTGGCCCTAACCGTTTGAAAGCAGACGGCATGGAGCGTAGCCGTGCAGCATCCCACGTTGAAAACGATGACGTCCGAGCGCGAGCTGTCGATATTGTTTTATTTCTTTACAGATAACTTTATGGAAGCTATATTACTTATATTGTGCAAATAATGAGAAGGCTTTTCTTAATGCCCTTTCTATTAGTATGACTATTGCTTTTATTGCTATTGCTAGGACTATTACTGGTGTGTTATTGTTGGTCAGATGGGGATGAGCCGAATAAAAAATTCGCAAATTTTTTTGCAACTCAAACCCTCTAAACCTCAAATCCCCCGAGCCTTAAAGCCCTGAAGACTCTAAACCCCAAAACCCAGATGTTAGCCAGGCGAACGGGGCTAAATCCCCAAATCCGAAACCACGCCGCATCCGGCTCTGGGCAACATCATCAACATTTGGCGCATCCTCGTCAAGCAACATTTACCAAAACAGCACCACTACTTTGATGTGAAAGCGTTTCGGGCAAGTTGCTTCATGATTTCATGGCGTGCAACATCACGGCCAGGACAATAGACACTCCTATAAGATTGTCACATATGGCCGACCCAGTATGATGAACAAGCTCTTTGGAGATTCCACAAGTCGAGTCGAGGAATTGCTGAATCTGGCAGGGCTATCCTGCCATGGTCGATGTTCGTGGAAAGCGACCGCCGGCAAGGGTCTTACGTGTCAAATTGCTACGCTACTTACAGCTGCTTGGTTTTCATGCGGATTTCTGTTTGATTGACGCCCTTGTTCTGAGAAGGATTAGATTGGGGATCCTACTCTTATATTGACCGCCCTAAGCGCCCCCAAGAAGCAAAGAAAAGTCCTCAAAGCTTAAGCCCATAAGCCCGGAGGCCCTAAACGCCAAACCAAAAAAACATAGTCTTCTTGTGGAGCGCTTCGCTTCGAGGTGGGGGCTGGCCGCGTGCTCGGAGAGGAGCGCCTGCACCGAGCCGACGAGGCTCCGTGAAGACGGGGTATCTGATCAAGGGTTTCAAACATTAATGGGAAGCGCTGGGTCTCGATGCCATGTTTAGTTTCGGAATATGGAATATGAAGAAGACAAGGAGAATGGAAGTAGCAGCCACCATAACATCACTAGCAAGGATCGCTGGCTGCAAATGACGGTTGTCTTCAATTTGTCGACCGGTTGTTGTTAGTAACATGTTTTGCATTATCATCATAGACCCGTGAAGAGCCTTTTCCATGCCGGAAATTCGCCGAAACACTCGCAACGCCCTGAAAACCACGACAAGAAATCCCGACGCACCAAGACAGCTGTTTCGGCCTTAGGGTTGGGTTGAAGCAGATTTAGGGTTGGAGGTTCCGTAAGAGAAACGAAGAGAAGGCGCATCGCAAGACCACAAGACAAGTCATAGGAGTAAGCATAACAGCTCTCCGCTCTCCCTGTTGCAGAACTGGGTCTGGGCGTAGGGTTATCGACATGAGAGGCTCATTGGCTGGGGCTCCAGTGTTGGAAGTCAGACCAGCAGAGAGCGAGGAATCGCTGCGCGAGGATTTGGCGCGGCTGAGGAGCCAGTCCCTGCCCTAGAGAGCCAGGAGTTGTGACCAGGAGATAATGTCCCAAAGAGAGTCCGGAACTCGAGATATATGCCAGAGGCCTCATTTTTCGTGCAGGGCGAGTCTAGTTGCAAGACTTCAAAGGTATGCCGCCGTCAGGCGCGAGGGTGCTGAGGTGCGATGGGGGCTGCTGCCGGGCTGTCAACGTGTCAGGCAACTGCTATACAGGGACCTTTTTCAATAGATTCAGATATTTTTCATTCAGCGTCCTGCTTCGCATTTTGTTTAAAGTTTTGCAGCTTGCGCTTTTCTGTTTGCCTATCCATCGTGGAAGACTGTCGTCCTCCATTCACAACCGAGGGGTTGCTGTCTGACGCTTGAAAGGATAGAACTGCTTCTTTCGAGATGGGCCTGTCGACAGGAAAGGTGTGGTTTGCTGGCGGAGACTGATCGGAAGACAAGGTGCGGGAGCTCCTTCGCAGCGCCGAGCGCGACAGCATGCGCAAGGACAAGCTTCTGCAGGAGCCGCTGCACAGTGGCTTCAGTTGGCTATGTGCTCGGCTGTCCCAAGAGGCATAACTTTCAAAAGAGGCATGTGAGGTGGCCCTACGCACCACACCTAGAGGCGGTGCTTGGAGATGGGGTCCTTCGCTGCTGCAAGATTGGAGTTCGTCGAAGAATTGTACAGTTTGCAAATGTTTGCAACCATCCCAAACTCTCTCGGAAGGAGCTCCTGTCCGCGGCCAAGGCACAGAGGGGCGAGAGCGCTGCTTTGGACATGGTTTGAGATTCGTTAGTGACTTCGGCCCGGGACAGTGTTTCAGGATCTCTCTCGCGCGCGACTGTGACCCTGCTCAGCTAAAGGTTTCCAGCACGGGCTTCCCCAAGGTACTTATACTCCTGAGATGCACATGTAAGCTTCCATGGGTGAGTGAAGAGCTCCCATGGCCGGCTACGACGTCGAAGAGGGAGCTCTCTTACGGACGTGCCAGAGCAAGGAGTCTGTGAACTCTGTGAACCGGTCATGCAGCCATTGCTCGGTGACCACTGTTCCTGGAGCTGGAGTCGTAGTCTACGACACGCCTTCCTTCGTTCAGGGCGCTCAGCGTAGCCAGCCCCTGGTGGACCCCATCCGCACCTCGGTCTTCGAATTGCTTAAGATCGGCATCGGGCCCTCAAGCAGCCACACCGTGGGCCCGATGCTCGCCTGCCGCAACTTCGCAAAGCGCTTGGTGAAGCAGAAACTGCTTTCCGAGGTCGCCTCGATCACCGTCGAGCTCCGCGGCTCCCTGGCTCTGACGGGCATCGGCCACGGCACCAACAAGGCTTGTGTCCTCGGGCTCCATGGCGTGGCACCTGCTGAGGTGGACCCGGCCACCATTGAGCCCTTCTTGGCAGAGGTCAAGGAATCTGGCAAGCTCATGCTGGGCTTTCGCGGGGAGTTCAAGGAGATCGGCTTCGTTGAAGAGGAGGATATCCTGCTTGTGGCAGAAGAACTGCCGCTGCATCCAAACGCGATGATCTGTCGGGCGCTTGGCAACGACTTCTCTTCCGTGCTTGAAACTCGCTACTACTCCACCGGAGGAGGCTTTATCCTCAGCGAAGAGGAGATGTTGGCAGCGGAGGGAGCGGGAAGCGCGGGGAGTGCTGGAGATGCTGACACAGCGCTGCCGCCCCTGCCTTTGCCGTTCCGTAGCATGACAGACTTGCTGGACATCTGCCGGGCCCACAGCTTGGACATCGCCAGCGTCGTGCGCAGCAACGAGGAGGCGCGCCGCTCTCCAGCGCAGGTGTCGGAGGGTCTGCAGGAGCTTTGGGCCGTGATGGAGCAATGCATCGAGAGGGGCCTCGAGAAGCAGAAAGCCAACGAGGCCTTGCCAGGGCCGCTGCAGATGCGGCGTCGGGCGCCTTCTCTTTATCAGGCGGCCTTGGAAGAGCAGCGGCAGCGGTTTGGGGAGGAGACCGGAAGGGCCATGGCGGTAATGGACGAGCTGCGATGGCTAAATTGCTACGCTTTGGCTGTCATGGAAGAAAACGCCACGATGGGCAGGCTGGTCACAGCGCCGACCAATGGTGCCGCTGGCGTTGTGCCGGCGGTGCTGGCGTATTACATGAGACACCTGCGAGCAGCGCAGGCGGAGGAAGACAGGAAGGAGCCCTCCACGTACCTTCTGACGGCGGCGGTTATCGGCATCCTTGCCAAGGAGAGGGCGGTGATTTCTGGAGCTGCGGGTGGCTGCCAAGCGGAGGTGGGAACTGCCACGGCCATGGCGGCCGCAGGCTTGTGTGCCGTGCTCGGAGGCAGTCCGGAGCAGGTGGAAACTGCCGCAACAGTGGCTTTAGAGCACAGCCTGGGGATGACCTGCGACCCAGTGCTTGGGCTTGTCCAGGCTCCGTGCATCGAGCGGAATTCCATGGGGGCGACGAAGGCGGTGAATGCCGTGGCTTTGGTCTTAGCTTCCGCAGCCTCGCCGTCGCCCTGGCTGAGCTTGGACGGGGTTCTTCGGGTGATGAAAGAGACGGGCGCGGCAATGGATCGACGATACCGTGAGACAGCGCTCGGTGGCTTGGCGGCGGACTATGAGCGGAGCCTTGGGGCCACGCCGAAGTTGCAGGAGAAGGTGAAAGCCACGATGGGCTTCAGCCGAATTCAAACAGGGACCCGAAAGCAGCTGCGAAGGCAAGTGACCTACGAGGACTTGGAAAGGGATCTGATCACAAGGCGCATTTCCTCGCAGTCGATGTCCAAGTGCTAGAAAGGCTAAGTGTGCCTTGATTCCCACGTGAGAAGGGCGGCCAAAGTGCCGTCTATTTGCCCAGAGGGCTTAGGGGGGTGCTCGCCTGGGCGTGCGGTCCTGCTATATAGCGTCATCAGCGCTGCAGCCCACCGAGGACTTGAGGACTTGAGGCTTTGAATCCTCAAAGCAGTGGCGAATTCCGACACTGAGAGGTCGTCTCTTGAGACACCGGCACAGCCGTGGGTTTTGGACGGCGGTCGTTTACCATGCCACGATCCCCACAAGAACACGCCTCAGTAAGGTGCGAGAGTGTTTTTGGCCTTGCAGGGCGGCCCCGGCGTGCTGGGCGAGGTCTTGGACCATCTGAAGGAGGACCTGCAGGTCTGGGCCGCACCAGCTGCCCGGCCCCGCCCGGCCCCTTGGAACACCTTGGGAGGCCCTCTTACGGGCGAAGCGCACGGCGCACGAGGTCCGGCAGCAGCTCGATGCACCTCGGCCAAGAAAAGCCCGTTTTGCCGCCTGCCAAGCTGGCATTTGTCGCTTTGCTCAGGAGAAGGAGGCGAAGATCGCAGCCATCCACCAGGAGCCGGGAGAAAAACACGAGCCGCGGGCTCGGGCTCTCGCTTCTGGGCGGGCCTCTCCAGGAGCTGCGGTCCACGAATCTCGAGGAGCTCGAGGCGAGACGAAGCCCCGTGCACGCCTTTTCGTGCGCTCTCGACCTGTCCTTGCAGGCGGCAGTGTCGCTTGCCAAGGCAGAAGCCAAGGAGAAGGCCCGCTTCGCCTGCTTCGCCTGCTTCGCCTGCTTCGCCTCGTCGTAGCGTCGTAGCAGAGGCGGAGGAGTGGGCCAAAGTGAATGCTGGCGGGGCTCACGGACTTGAAAGCTGACCCCCTTTCCCACGCGTCGCGCCGAGGAAGGGAGGACCCGCCCTGCTACGCGGAATCGACGCGCCTGCAGAGGGACTGCCAGGCTTGGAGACATTGGGCTGCAGGTGCTCGGAAGTGTCTGTTGTTGTGGTTTTTGACTGTTGCTGAGCAAGCATGGCATCGTGCCATAGCGCCTGGATGCCGTCGTCGGGTACACAGTTCGCCACAGGAGATTTGCCAGCAGATCCTTGATGCGGAGAATGAGACGACCTTGGTTCAGCGGCAGCTCGTGCAACTTCAGGCGATGTGGGGATGACCTGACGAGAGAATGGATTCGAGGGAGATCGGAGAGGCTGCCCGAGCGAGACCGGCGGCTCTCCAAGCACAGGACGAGCGCAGCTCCCTGGACGCCTCGGCACAGCAGCATGAGCAGCAGGCCCATTTGAGCCGGAAGCGGCCGAGCCCTGCTGATTCTTGGGGTTTCGTCGTAGGGAGGAGGAAGCAGCTTAGCAGAGTGTATCGGCTGTGGGAAAACGATGAAGCCTTTACCGTTTCTGTTGAGTCCCGACATGAAGCCCTGAGCGCCAGGCGCTGTCCTTGAAGGACTCGAGAGTGTTTCTAGGATGCCGTTGTGCTGGTCGAAGGTCGTCTTTCAGGCAAGAGGAACAGTCGAGTCACCTGGTCCCTTTGCCAAACGGAAGACTTTGCTTGCGGGTGTTGGGCCTGGATGGCCTTAGTCAAGGTGAAGGGGTGCAAGGCTGTGGGTCGGCTGGAGCGCAGGAGAAGCGCGAAGAGATCGAGCGGCAGAAGGCGCGGGGGGGGGGGGGGGGGGNNGGTGGGTCGCCTTGGCTTCCCAGAGCACCAAAAGGACTGGACAAGGCGAAGAAGGTTAGGTGCATCGAGGTGAGATGCGAGACAGGAGCAGTGCGAGCGCTCCTTGGGGAACTTGAGCGACCTGGAGGCAGAGCTTCGGGAGAAGCAGGAGGCGGGGTTCTCAGCGAGGGAAGGCTTTTTTTTCCCCCAAGACGCTGTGAACACGCCCTGCCTGCCTCAGAGCCGCGACGCCTCGGCCCAGCGCCTGGCGGAGGCGCAGAGCAAAGCCCCGAGAGGCGTCGCCGGGCTTGCAGAGGGCTCTCTGCGGAGTTTCCTTTAAGAGTCCCTCAGCGCTCTGCCAGATCAGCGGGCAGTGCCCGTTGCCAGCAGTGCGGTGATCCACATAGAACCAGAAAGTCGGCGCCTCAGGCATCCATGATATTCCGTAGCAAGCATCGCCACCACCACCATCATGTTTCTGAGATTCTGATCCTTTCTGATGGCTTTTTCATGCCATTCAGGCCGCTCGCCAAAGCAGCGCGTGCTGCCGAGGCAGCCGCCGATGATGCCGGAGGCACGCATCCGTAGGCCGGTGGGCAGGGACTGGCTCCGCTCTCAGGTGCCGCCCTCGCCGCCTTGGGCGCCTGCAGCCTCCGAGGCCCCCCTTTTTCTTGGCGTCTACGGCCGCAGGGCCCTTTGAGCAGAAGCCGACCAGAGCTGAGGAAGAGGAGGTCGGCGACGCCTCGGAGACGGCTTTTCCGGAGCCTCCGGAGGCTGGAGCCGGCGGAGCTCAAAAACAAAAAGCGAAGAACTTGGCCAAAGCCGAGGCGCCTTCGCCCGGAGCCTCCCCGCCTCGGCCTCGCTCCTCGAGGCCAACCTCGGCGAAGGCGCGCGTCTTTTTTGCGGAAAGGCTTATATAGGATCGTCGTAGGCCTCAGGAGGGTGGGGTCGCTTCAACAGAAGGGCACTCTCCCGATGAGGCACGCAAACATGTATGGGCCACCGCTTTTGCCCTCCTTTCCAGTCGGCGGGATCAGCGTCCTACGACGAAGACTTCGACGACGACGCCGCGTGAAATGCGTCGGAGGGTCGGTCTTGCGCCGTACTCACTCCCTGCCTTACAGCTCCCCAAGGCTGATCACACCACCCAGGTTTCCGGGGTTGCATCCTGCATGATCCTGCATGTCTAGGCCCCCGGCTCGCTATGTTTTCGGAGCCGAGGACTGGGAGGAGGAGTCGGAGCCGGAGGACGCCTGAGACCTCCGAGCCCCGAAATGAACGCAGAGGCAAAATCCTCACTACAGAAAGCTCACTGTGCAAGGCAAGCAGAACGGCTCTCGTCGTTGGGGCTCTGGGTTAGTGTGTCAGGGTTCAGAGCTTTTGTTTTGTAGCTTTGGGAAGTGTTCGGGGGCAATGACCCTCGGACATTTCTGTGGCAGACGAAAAACCGTTCGCCAGCAGAAGGGAAAAAAGTGATGCGGGCCGCCGACTCGACCCGCCCCTCCGGAGTTTGGCAGTAGGCAGCTGCCGCAGCCAGATAGGTTCGAGGATTTAAATGACTTTAGTTGAGGGCGGTGAGGTACCATGTCATGCCTTGCGTCCGGCACGCCCTTGCACCACTACATGAGGTCCCTGCGAAGGCAGCCGGATCCTGGCGGTGGCAGTGGCACGCTGCGTCGATTCCCCATGTTCACGGTGCCCTTCAAGGTGCTGATGAAGATGACGAAGGTCGAAGCACACGAAGTTCTCAAAGAGCGGGGGGAGCTAGTGGAGTTCAAGCAGAGCATGGGCCAGGCTGCCTTTGTCTCACACCAGTGGGTCTCTGTGCATCATCCAGATCCAGAGTTCAAGCAGATGCGCGTCTTGCAAGAAGCTCTAAGCCATGTCCTTGATGATTTGACGTACATTCCCTTGGACAGCACGTCAGAGACGGCTGTCCCTGGTGCCAAGCCATTGCACGTGAAAGAGCTCCGGTCACAGCCCCTGTTCTTCTGGTATGACTATTTCTCGTGCCCTCAGCTGCACATCAACAGGCAGCACCTCCTGAATGCAATTGACAGCATCTCTGAGTACGTGGCAGACAGTAGATTTTTCTTGGCTCTCTGTCCCACCGTGGTAGATACAAATGGATCCCGGGTGCTAACACGTAAAACGTGGCTGCACAGGGGCTGGTGTAGAACGGAAAAAGCTTGCCGGGAGTTGTCTGAAAAGGAGTCTTGGATCATGATAAAGAGCTCCAGGAACATCGAGCTGAAAATTATTGGTGGGTTAGCAGAGCTGGTCTCCGTCGGCGAAGGATCCTTCAGCGTTGATGACGATCGCACAAAGATCACCCCCGTTCTCCTGCGAGCAGTGAGGCGCAAGTTGTTCCTGCTGCTCGAAAGACAGGACTTGGTGGGATACCGGGTTTTGCTGAACCAGCAGCCGGTGCTTCTGCGAGGCTTGTCGCAGGATTACGTCGCGGTGCTCCCGAGTTTTCAGACCGACCGGGAGCTGGAGCTGAATGACACGCTTTTGGCTGTGGCAGAGTTCTTGCATAAGAATGGCTTCAAGGGTGTCAGCGACAGAGACCGTGCTGGCTGGTCGCCTATGCATTATGCCGCTCTACGCGGTGATCCTCGATTAGTTAGGGGCTTGCTCGACAGCCGTGCGGATCCAAACCGGGTTACGAAGAAGGCTTCGCATCGTCTGGTACTGCCGATATGGACCCCACCCCTTGCCATTTGCTGCGCATACAAGCACCACGAAGCGGCTCGTTTGTTACTCTTGGCGAGAGCATGTGCCACAGCCCCGTCGCTTGCTTCGCCCATGTACTGTGCGGCTGCCGCCGACGACCCGGAGGGAGTCCGAGCTCTTCTGGATGCCAGGTGCAACATCTATCAGCAGAACCTTGCTGCTGTTACTGCGGTGGAACCAGCTGCCAGTTACGGCTCCGTGGCTGCATTGCAGGAGCTGGAAGCGCAGTCAACGAGCGAATTGGCCACGAAGCACAGCCTGCACATGGCAATGCTCCACGACGGCTCTGCAGAAATAGCAAAGAAGCTGCTCGATCTCAGAGCAAACTTGAACGACCAGAACTTCGATTGGTGCAAGCGCACAGCCTTCGTTCGACTACTCTGTGCCATGTCGCAGCTGCAGCATCGAATGGGCAAAGTGTCTCAGTTTTCCAGACAAGTTTACCATGCCGAACGTGCCACGCCCCTCATGTTCGCGCTGCTCGGCTCGCATTACGAAGGTGCTGAAGTTCTCATTGCCGCGGGAGCTCGACTTGACCTCCGCAATTCGCGGGGTTGGACAGCAGCAGACACAGCGGGTGCCAGACTTCTTAAGTCGGGCGTTAAAAGGCCCAGGCCCAGAATTAGTGGTGCACTGCGGAACGTCTCAGCCAGAGCCGGAGCATCTCGACGACGGCGAGGGCTGTGACGGCTACGTTGAGGTGTACTTCTGATCAACCTCAGCTTGAAAGCGAGCTAATACAGCTAATATCAGCTAATGTTGTTCGTCTTTTTTCTGCTGCGGCAACGTTGCGAGATCCCGCCAAGCAGCCAGTGACAGTGCCCGAGCACGGAGAACATGGAAAAAGGGTGCAAGAAGTTGGACTTCCAGTTTTGGAGCCCTGAGCTTTTCACAGGTTGCGCTCCAGGATTTTGGCTCAGAGAGGGTCCCGTCCCGGGCAATGGTTCTGAGATGACCCGGCGACCCGAGGCCAGTATCGACTTGAAATCAAAAGAGTGAGTTGAGTTTGTGTTCTTGTTGCACATGGGATCCCAGTCCTGACGTCGGAAGAGATCGTCCTAGACACCCCAAGCGATTTCGAGCCCAGGTTGCGTTTGGCTGCCGGCGATGTCCCTGCTGATGCCGCGGTTGGATTGGATCCTCGGGTGCCGTCGGCATAGTAGCATAGCGGCGTAATGCAGAGATAGGGTCAATGCTACGGCACGACGACGGCTTCCCCTGCAACTGCCGCCACCGCTGCCGCCGCCACCGCCACCACCGCCCCTAAATTTTCCCCTGCCCCGTCCCTGCCACAGCAACTACCCCTAAGTTTCCCCTCCTCCTCCTCCTCCTGCTTTTAACTTCTAGTGATTCTAGTGGCCTAGCGACAGAAGGCAGCAAGCCCAGCTACGCCACAGCCACGAGATCCGTCCCCTGAGGTGCTGCACGGCAGGAGGCTGCGAATCGCATGGGCAGACAGAGTTCCAGGCGCCTTTCCCGAGCTCGGACGGAAGCGCTAAAAGAAGCCCAGATGCCTTCCCGAAGCCGTGCCGAAGCTCTCTGAGACGAAGCAATGCCACATAGAGAGGGAATCGCTGGGGAGGTCCAGCTGAGCTCGGAGCCCGCCCCGGCGCACGGCGCGCGGGAGCTCAGCCGGTTTTGGCGCTTCGCCCGCTTCGCCCGCTTCGCCTGCAGCGAACTGCTTTCAGAGCCGTTTTTCTTTCTGCGGACGAGGCGAAGCACCTCCTGACCTCCGGGGACCGCCGAGCCTTTATCCGGGGCTTGGTTCTCACGGTTGCAACAGCGAGCGTGCGGTAGCGTGCGAGCTCTTTATCCCCTCTTGGGCTCGGCGCAGGATTCCTTTGACATCACCTTCACTCCGCGGCTCTTCGGCACCCAGGGGCTCAGCAGAGCGTGGGGGCCTCGAGACCGTTGAGACCGGAGTGGACTGCGGTGCCTTTAGCTGACGTCCTGTAGCCCACGACTGGATCTGGAGATCAGCTGAGGTCGAATGCTCCCTTCACCCCTCGGCAGCGAGACTTGCAGCTTGGCAGCATCTCGCCTTTGGAGGCAAGGGAAGCGAGATGATCTTAGGCGGGCGCAGCTGGAGCTCCCGTCACTCCAGACGCAGCTTGGCGCAGTCTCCGACACCTCCCCCCCGAGCCTAATGCCCCAGCAGAGCTCCCTTACCGGGTGCTCCAGCCTCTCTCCTATAGCGGCCTAATTGGCGGCTCGGGTGGCTCGCGGGCTGAGTACTCCGCGTTTCGACCAAAGGCTTTCCGACGAGGCCAGTGCGGCCGTAGCGAAGACTCGGACACGTTAGTGTGGCCGTCGCGCTCTTGCCGCCCCTCTCGCCGGCGAAGGAAGGCGGAAGACGAAGACGAAGGCCCGGAGCTGCAAAGGGCCGAATAGGCAAAAAGGCACAACAGTGACCCTATGCGCGTCTTGCGGCGCACGGTCTCCAACTTTGAAAACATGTGCAGGGAGTTCTTTGTTGCGCGCCTCTCCCCTTCCCGCTCAGCTGTGTTGCACTGGCCAGACAAGGGTTCTCCCACAAAACCGGTAGCTTGGCATCGTCTGAGCAGTTCCCTCAGTTCCCTCACTGGTCACTGACAGTTTACGCTTGTTCCAACATAAAGTCATACAGAGGCATGCCGTTCGTATCGGGAGAAGGAAGCAGTCTCGTCTTATCTCCGAAAAGATGCTCCTGCGTTGCGGCATGCGATCCGAGCATTGCCAAGGTGGTCTGCATTTCTGCTTGCAGACAGACCTTTTTGGAATGCTCGAATCCATTTCAACATTTCAGAATGGAAAGAAATAGCGAAAGCTTTGCTCTGCGACGTTTCGCCTTGACTTGGAGGCTCCACTCTGGAGAGTGTGAGCTGCCATCTCAATTGAGTGTCTCCGGGAGCTCAGAGCTCGGCTTAGCTTTCTCGACAGAGAAAATTGAGCTCATGTGACTTGTGTCCTCGACCCAAGATTCCGGGAGCACTCGCCACAGAGCAGCAGACTCTTCTGATCCTTCGTTTCCATTATTTTGCCAGCCGATAGCCGGCAACCACTTGTCTGCTTGAGCAGTGGACTCTGGTGAAGCTGGCAAAGTGTTCTATGCCGCCAGGCGGCTCAGGCAGTCTCCGGGTAACCTGCGTGGGTGTACCCAAGCCAAGTGAGGGCTGGGAAAAGGCCGTGTGAGCTGCGCTTTGGGCTGTCTCCAAGGTATCCAGTGCCCCCAAACCTCGGGCCGGAGACTGCGGAAGAGGCGCGCCGGCCTGAGGCGCCTTGGGAGGCCGCGCCGCCTCAATGCCAGGTGCGAAAGGAGAGGCTTCTGGAGATGTACCGGGAGTTCGCTTTGGACCTGCACACAGGCCCGGCCGTGTGGGTTCCCAGGACGAAAAACTCGGTTTCGCTGCATGATCCTGCGGGCATCCCGGGCATCTCGGCGCCCTGCAGGCATGTATCTTACACAGCTGACGTCGAATCGAGACTATGCGGACATCCACGTCCAGCTCATGGAGGACTCCGCCTCATGGCTCTTGTCCCGCCGCAGATCCCTGTAAACTTCATAGCCTACACTTTGTTCCCAGTTTCCACAGGGAGACAGCATAGACTCGATGGGTTCAGTCTCCAAACAGTTCCACTGCAGTCGGAGGGCAACCTGATCTTGCTCACGATTGCTCACGCCTTGCCGCCTCAGGATCTGACCACCCTCAAGCTGGACCAAAGCAATGGCCGCCGCCTCAGATGGTTCTGCCATGAGAGATCCCCTTTTCTTCCTTCCAAGGCCGCATCATCGAGTTCCCTTTGACCAACGTGTCCAAGGTGTATCGCATCGTCAAGAACGACGACAAGTGGTGCCCCCTCTCTAGGACCCTGCCTCCTCTTCTTACCCGAAAAGGGCTCTCCTGCAGCATCATTCCGTGTGGGTGGCTACGCTGTTACTTCTGTGTCCTGCGGCACTTGCTGCTCTCAAAGGCAATGTCGAAGGGCCGACTACTTCTGCCGAGGCTTTACTTTTTATGCTGCGGCTCTCCTGAGGTATGCTGCTGGGACGCCGCTTCCTCACAGCTCCGCGAACACGGAGGTGCCTGCCTCTTCCGTCGGGCGTTAGCCGTGCCCTGTCGTGTGCCAGCAAATCGTGGTGGTGGAGTTCATGCGCCGGAAGTTGGCCTTCGTCTTCAAGGAGCTGCAGGCCCGAGCCGGAGAGCAGGCCGCCCTACGCGCCCTACGTACCGCCTCCCCTTCGGCCCTTCGAGGTGTCGCAGCGCTTCTTGATCTGCATGGAGCTGCTGATCCGAAGGGCGCAACAGAAGCAGGCGCGAAGCGATGTGAAGTGAAGCCTTAGACTTGGGCCCGAAAAAAAACACGCTGGGCCTAAAATGTCCAGGCGCTGCGTTCGCTCACGCCAACCTTTCCGCCCCAGCATGCGCAGAGCAGGTGCGAGTGGCTTGTCACTAGCAGTTCCTTTTGGAGGGGTCAGCAGGTCTTTGTGGACCGGTGGGTTGTTAAGTTTGCGGCGGAGGCAGTGTCCTACGCCGCGCCTCGTCCATGCCACAAGCTGAGCTCTTGCTTGCTCGCTCTGCAGTCTCTGGGATGTTGAGAGGGGTGGGTGTGGTGCTACTCTGTGTCGATGTCTGGTCCCGTTTCTCTCGTAGTCCATGTCCTGCAATCGCCTCTGACGTTGGGCGCAGCCCATGAAATCTGGCATTTACTTCAGAAAAAATCCAACACACCCACGACACTCTGAACCTTGAGTGCTAAAGAGAAGGAGCGGCACACCAGCTTTTTTTGAATAGACGATGCAGAGACATCACCCCTCGGCTGCTTCGATGAACGCCCGGTTTTTTCCCAACTTAAGCTACCTCAAGAGAGTGCGGAGACGAAGCCGCAGGAGGCCTGTGCTTCCTCTCAGGATGCCATGACAAGGCCTATCCCGAGTCCGCCAGACAACCTGAAATGAGTTGTTTCACTCCGGCATTACGGGGGTTCACCGTGTTGGCAAAGAGTTCTTCTTGTGCAGCTCATTCATGGCCAAGCACAGACATGATCATGACGCCGATGTTTGTTTTGTTATGTGGAGCGGCGAACCCCCCGCCCATGCTCAGTTGATCTATGTGACACGTTTCCTGGTGAACCCAGACCCTATAGATCTTTTAGAGACGACAGAAGACCCCCTCCGCTCGCAGTCTCACCTTGGGAGCTGGCGCCCGGCCCCGGCCCTGGCCCTGGCTCCTCGCAGTCGCATATCCTCGCATGATCTCGCTGCACGGCTCGGCGAAGCTCGGCTCGGCGCTGGGTTTTTCTCTCCCGGGGAGCCCTGGCCCGAGCTCGGCAACAAAGCTTGCCGCGTCAATGGACCTCCGCGCCGGGCCGACGTGGCGGCGCGCGGCGTTTAGAGTTGTGGAAAAAAGCTCCGAACGGAAGATCAAGCCAGCACGCCCAAGCTTTTGCTCCCTTTGCCTTTGGCCAGTCTCAGCTTCTGCAAGCTCCAGTTTCAGTCACGGAGCCCCGACCATCCCAAGAGTCCAAGAGTTAAAGAGTTGAACAGGACCCCCAGATCTCACGGGTTTCCCCGCATCCCCTTTCGCCCTCCCCACGTCAGCGCAATCCGCCATGTGGAAATCCCAGCTTCGCTTGGATTGGCACTACAAGTACTGGCAGAGGCCCCCGTGTGCCGTGGGTGCCGTGAGTGCCGCGTGCTCTCGTGAGAT